GCACCATTCAAACTGGCTGCCTTCAACGTTCGCACACTTATATAGGTCGGACAACAGATAGGGCTGGCTATGTCATTGGAAAGTCTTAATATCGACGTTTGTTGTCTATCCGAGACCCATATTCCAAACTCTGGTGAGGTGCTACAAATTCGCTCCCCATCTGTCGCTTCAAAAACCTTGCTTTACGTGCGTTTATCCGGGGACCCTATGGCATCTTAATTTGGTCTTGCTGGCATTGTTGTCGCACTAAGCGCTAGAGCTGAGGCAGCACTAATCGATTAGATCCCCATTAACAGTCGGTTATGTGCTGTTAGATTAGAAAGTTCCATCAAAGTGAGAAGAAATCGGCGTGACAAACGATGTCTTTCCGTCATCCCCGCCTATGCCCCGATAGATTGCAGCCCGGATGCAATCAAGGATGAGTTTTACCACCAGTTATCTGTTCTTCTCAAGAAAGTGTGTTCGACAGATATTGTAGTACTAGCCGGAAACTTGAATGCTCAGGTCGGGCGTCTAGGCACAGAAGAGAGTCGTTTAGGTGGCCGATGGGTACTTGTTGGTCGCAGGAAAGATAACGGGGACTGTCTACTGCAACTGTGCACAGACCACAACCTGTTTCTGGCTAGCACTAACTTTCGACACAGTCATCGCCGATGTGCCACCTGGCGTCCTCCCTCTGCATCCCAAGCCTGGACTCAGATTGGTCACATCGCGATCAGCTACCGCTGGCGTGGTTGTGTTCAAGACTGCCGCTCCTTTTGGAGTGCCTATCTGGTCTCTGATCATGCCCTGGTCTGTGCCAATCTTGCCTTACTTTTCAGTGGACAACGAAGTGACCGCCATCAAAGGATTGATATTAGCAAGCTGGTTGCAACTTCTGTTGCAATTAAGTACCGAACCGAGCTAGCCTCTAGGCTAGCTACCATTCCACCGAAAGGTATAGATGAGCATTGGTTGCAATTGCATGACGCCATGAAAATGGCGGGTACAGTCAGTTGTGGGTTCGCGAAACGTCCCTATCTTTAAAAAGGGTTCACGTCGTTCCTGTAACAACTATCGGGGATAAGTCTACTTCCGATTGCGTCCAAGCTTTTGGCTTCCACCATAGTTCTTGGGTTGTTCAAGACCCGAAAAATATTAACTCGCGAGGATCAGGCTGGTTTTCGTTCTGGTCGAGGATGTATTGATCGTATCTTCACCCTCCGCCAAATCTTAGAACACCGTCATATTTATCAGAGGCCAACAATCGTAGTGTTTCTTGACATCAGGGCTGCCTTCGATTCGTTGGATAGGACTGTTCTCTGGGATTGTCTATTGAAGACGGGTGTGCCTGATAGGTTCATTAACATCCTAAAAGCCCTATATACAAACACCTTGGGTAGAGTGAGGGCATACAACCACCTCTCCCCATTGTTCCATTCGAGTAGTGGGGTTAGACAGGATTGCACAATCTCATTATTCCTCCTCAACTTTGCCATCGATGACATTCTGAAAATGGCTCGAATGGATGCAAGTAATGGCGGTGTGGATGTCGTCCCAGAGAATTCCACGTCATCCATTATATGCCCACACTGGGACTGGTTGGAGGAGGCGGAGAGGTGATCAGTGTATGACATAGCGTCGGGGTATGAAGGAAAGCTGCAAAGGGCTGACTTGTGGTGGTCCTTCACGACTCCCTGGCTGGGGCCTGAGAGATGGTGCAACACAGTGGCTAGAGACGTTATTAGATTATGGCTCAGAATAGAAGCCAGTGGCGATTCTGCTGTAACCTTCTTTTACTTTCTTCGTAAAAAGTGGTTGTTTCTTCTTTAACTGAAAGGTCTCTTCTGATTGTACATTTCTGTTTCCCACATTATTGTTATTGTTACACTACCTTACACTAGTCTGTTCGTTATTCTTTTTTTTAACGCTCCTTACCTTTTTTTCCTTCTTGTCTTCAAGTTCTCATTATTATTGCGTGACGCATATATATTTGGTGCCCTCTTGTATCAATTTTTATGTGTTCAAATAAATAAATGAGATCTCAGTTAATCCAACTGCTAAAACTGGACTACCATCCGTAAATGTCTCAGGGCTTAGTCCATCAGACTCGGCTGATCTCCCTATCTTTAGATTACTTAGTCTTTTCAACCTCACTGAGTAGGACGACTTACATCAGTTTGCAATCCAGGCTACTTGGAGATAGTGAGTAACTAAAGTGTGACCGAAAGCTAGTTGAACTGTCCCCTAAGGTGTTCTCCATATTGATCCAATCTCATGGATTGAGAGTGAGAAATATTCCTGTCTTTTCCCGAGGTAGTTTCACTAATAGCCAGATTTTTAATACTGGTCTCCTCGATAACTCTGAATAGTTGTCTGTTGCTACCTATCGCCGCAGATTTTCCGTCTCTTTTGCTTTTGTTGCCCGCCATTGTTCACGACCACTGTGTAGGCTTTTAGTCAGCCTACGTTTGGGCTATCTCAGCCTCTCATTGTGCTCGAAGCCAGATAGGATGAGATCCTTAGCATCTATCAGTTCTGTAGACGTCGCTGAAATCGGCTGGTTGTCCCTAACATTTTTGTTTAAGTTTCTGGTAGTTATCACTGCCGTTTCCACAGCATTTCGTTTAGCGTATCAAGCTATCTCGGGGTGGATATCATTTTGACGGTTGACTAGCAGTTGTCCCTGAAATATATTTTTGAATTTTCCAGGACTAAGTAGAACTATTAGTAGTTTTCCTGCTGCCACTGTCTTACGTTCAGTAATACCCTCAAGTGCCCTGGTACGGTCGAGGGTGTGGAAAGTCCGTTCTCCCTCTCGAAATACTCTCACATGGCCACGCGTATACAGCCACTGCCGGGGAAATCCTATTCACTGCCTTCTCGTGGCTGGGGTGTTGCTTACGAAATTAATAGGACGAAAAGCGATTGTCCAGCGCTTTAATAGGGTTGGTGGTTATCGAGGATCCTTCTAGTGGGAGTTGGAAAACCCTGATTTCAAATTAGTGGGGCAAATGGGCTCCAGGACTCTGAGGGAATAAATGACATATGAACCTATTCTTGATCTCCGGCTACCATGGGACTGCATCCCCTAACGTTATTCCACTGCCTCGTAGATCAAACCTGTAGGTAGAAGGCTTCGGGTGTAGCCCCCTAAGGAAGCCACCTGCTTCGTTTTGGGCACCCAGACATTATCACAGCCCGCACACAAATAAGTGGTAAATACGAATAACCTCATTGTTATTGTATAGCGTATATGTATTCGGCGCTCCCTTGTTTTTCTGCTTCCACTTTTACCTTCAGTAAGACGCAAACAAATAGTGCTCGTACTAAAGCATTATCCAAGTCCAAACATGTGCTCCAGAATGAATGGCAGTCTTCTGTCGCGCGTGTTCAATGATGGCTGATGGGAATGTGGTCTGTTTGATTTTATCGATGAGTGGACTGTGTAAGTCGCTACTTCAGACATTTCTTTTGATGTTTGAAGTTGATGTTTCTCAGAAATGGACGGTTATCTGAACATAGTTGCAACGGACTGTTGCCGTTATCTGTTCGCTGAGCCTCAACACTGTAGGATTCACCAAGGTGCCTTCCGCTTTGGTTTAGTTTTCCTAATTTGGCACTATTATCACTTGCCATTATTACTACATCAGTGCATTTGGTTTCCAGAGGAGGTTGGATAGCTTCTCATAAAATTCTTCTTTACCTTCGTTCGAGCAACAGTCTGTGGGAGTGCAAGCAGAAACTATGAGAAGGCAACGGCGTGTGTCCCTAACTTTCTGAGTTCTCACTGTTCAATTTGGTCGAGTGTTTATTGGAATACAGTCTAACGGAGCCTGTTCTACTGTATAACTTAGTGCTATACCTACATCAGCGATGCTGCTGGATGTGGCAGTGTGATCTCTAGATATTCGAAGTGCCAATCGTGCTGGTTTTGTGTATTGACAAGGTGAGGTCAAATGAAGGTCTGTTCTTAGAATCTGTATGCGCGTTCCGGAGACTCAACATATATCGATGACACGCGATTCTAGAATCCTAGCTAAAAAAATCAAAAGCTCTAACATGTAGTTTAGAGCGTAATTTCAGGAGATCAGGAATAAAATTTGGTGGATTCAAATCATTGGTGGCGCCTGTGTATAAAGGTGAATGTCAAGAGTTAGTCATATAGATGGAAGAATTATTAAGTGGTGGAGAAATTCGATCGTCAACAGGATAATCTCGGGTTCTGTAAGAGGTATAAGGGCGGTCGTGACTTCCCGTTTGCACATACGTCTGAAGGATATTTTTCGTTAAAGGACCTGATAAAGAAGCTGAATTAGTGGTAGTCTTGGCGATTTAGTAGCGTTACCGCAGAACCCAAGGGACAACTGCTTGAGGTCAGCTGTGCACGGCTCATTTATGGGGAGTTTTCTATATTTTAGCTGCGTACTTCTAAAGACCTTACCACCGGAGACGGAAATCCGTGAGGTAAGGTGAGGTGTGACATTTTTAGGGTCGACCTTTTCTAACTGATTCTTTCCGTTGTGAGAAGTCGTTACGTCTGCAGATGCTAGTTGCCCGAGGGGAACATCTTACTGCTGTCACACTTCTCTACAGTCAGGAGTACGACTATGCCCTTGGATTTTGTGTTGCTGCTTTTGGTTCTACCGTTCTCCGAGCGACCAACCTGGTATGGTAGGGCCTAAAGGGACATGTGTTCCAGCCAATCTATCTGGGTTGAGTCATCACTATTAGGTTATCCCGATCACTACGTCAGTGCAGTAGCTACAGTCCACGTAAACTACGTAAATATCATCGATTCGAAGTTGATGTCGTACAAGTATCTTTCATAAATTAAGGTAGAATGTTTGGCTTTTTTATTACACACAGTGTTAGATCTTCCCCCACAATAATTTTTTTCTTTACATTCTCAACATATTTTTAGTAGACGACACAATTCCTAATGGTTTTTGCCAGTTGTTCATTTGATTTAGTTAGTTTTATAATTCACTGCGTAATTACTTCAATTATTTCGCTTACAGAGCCAGTACTTGTGTCAGGAAATGTTTCTTTAGTCACACTGTCAATAGGATTGTTATGCGTTTCGTTTGTGGGCTTTTCTCATTGGTTCTACCATGCATCAAGTTTTTCGGAGAAAAATCCAGTTGGTGAAAATCAAGAAAAATTAAATGTTGCTGAACAAACATTAAAACAACTTCAAAAAAGGTTGGTTACTTATGTGAATAATAATAATATGGAGTGACTTTTTGTTGAGATATTTTCTTTATTATTGAAGAAACTAGTTTTACTAAACATAGAGGTGATGATGAAAAAAATTAAGTATATGACTTCCACTTCATTAATTTGATGCAATGATTCAATGCAAGATAATGTGGAAGAATGACGCATGTGATTTTGTTTTTAAGTGTTTATAAGGAATTTCTTGTTACTCAGTTTATTTTAGTTTCTTTGTAGTGTGAGGTTTATTCATTATTATTTGGTTCAGGGCTTGTATCCTTTTGTGTCAGAAGTCGATAGAATTCCGATATTCTTTAAACCATTTTAATTTCGTGGTAGTAGATGAACACGTGCATATTCAAAATATATCATTTCATCTCTTAAAATATGCTGCAGATTTGATATATTCACAGTGATGCTAGTTACATCACTAATGAATTTAATATTGACATAACGACTGAACTTCTTATTATGGTACCTTTTTACTTAATCCTTAAAACAAATCGAACACCCCGAATCTGTATGTTTGATTTGGTACATAATTTCCTTCGTTTGTGTCCAACATTCAGACAGTTTTTTTCTATACCTCTAATCATAAATTTTGAGGGTATATTAGAAGATACCGTAGTAGTTTCAAGTGTTAACCAAATATGTGTTCAATACATCAAGTAGCAGGTACTTGTATTTCTCGAATCATTACTTAATGGTCAAAAAATTGTTAGATTCGCTTCACTGGTTTAGAATAATCGATTACTTTATATCACTAATTTATGAATTGAAATCACAGTCTTTGTAGGATAACTCTGTAATACTCCAATTTAAACAAAGTTTGTAGGAATATTCTATTCTCATAGTATATAAGATTTAACAATTTGCTTAGAAGACTAATATAAATGATATCATTTTTTTAATGAATGCAAAGGAGGAAGGGATGAGAAAAATATTTCAATTGTATGAAGACGGGCGGGAATGAATTTAAACCGTAGTTGCTTTTTATGTTATTTGTTGTTTTTTAATGTATGATTAGTGTTGACTGGGGTAGTCACTAAGTTTAATAGTAATGGCGATCGGTTAACTACGACGTAGGGCCAGGTACATATGTACATCGGCCCAAGTTCCCATACCTCATTAGCACAACATGACGAACACCAAATTTATCGAAGCAGTTAATTCAATGGTATTAAAAAAAAACTTCATACAAGGGTATGATACAGGGAAAGAGAATTGCTTCGTATAAAGAAAGGTGTAAAGTAATGGTAATCTTATGATCTAGGGGAAGACAAAGAGTGTATACACCTACATCATTGTGATCGGTTCTGAGCCATATCGCACAGAGACTCCAACCATTGGTTATAATAATCGTGCAGACTCCAGCCAGGTAGTCTGCATCTACCAACGTGGCTTAGACCAGAAGTTATTGACTTTATGGACTGATGACCCTAACTTTCTTCCGTCCGTCAGCGACACTAGTCGGCATTGCACGCCGTAGTAGGCGGTAGTTAGGGATACGTATTACGTGGCCCAAGCATCTCAGTCGATAAAGATCCACCACCTCATCAACTGACTTACCGTCATTCCCTAATACCCTGCGTCTAACCTCACTATTACTTACCCGATGATCCCAGCAGATGCTGACAATATTTCTAAAACATCTGTGATCCATTACTAGTATCTTCTACTCTTAATGGCCATGTTTCGCAGCCGTAAATTAGAACATAAAGAAATGCCGCGCAATATACCCGTCCTGTAATTGATATGTGGACATCTCTCCTTCGCCTTAGGTGACGTAAGCTGGCATATACCAAACGAGCTTTTTGAGTCCGTGCAGAGATTTGTTCAGACAACAACCCATTCTGGTTGATCAAACTTCCAAGGTGATTGACGTCGACGCGTTCGACTACTTCACTTCCCATCTTTAGTTCAGGTATTGACGCAGGTCAGTCATGAAGTAGCGATTAGCATTTAGAGGGGGAGAAGCGCATCCCAAACATCCTGAGATTGTTGCTCAGTGCTACCTAAACACTCCATTTTATCAGCTCTTCATCAAACAGGACTATGTCATCTATGTATTATAAGTCGATAAGTGGGCCTTCTGGAAAGAGATCACTGCTCGAGAATTCAGCGGACGAGAATGTTGTTTCTATCAGTAGGTCTATGATGAAGTTGAACAAAAATGGAGAAAGTGGACAGCCTTGACGGACACCACTTGAGGTTGCAAAAGCAGATGACAGTTCGCCATAAGCTCTGACTCGACTAGTAGTGTTCGCGTAAAGAGCCTACACAAGGTTTATGTACTTCTGAGGTACGCCTTCCAATGACAGACACTGCCACAGAATCTCGCGGTCTACCGAGTCAAATGCTGCTTTTAAGTCAAGAAAGATTACCATTATCGGACGTCGATAAGTGTGTCTGTGTTCTAGAACCTGACGAATAGTGAATATGTGGTCGATGCAGCCACAACCTGGTCTGAAGCCAGTCTGATTTTCTCGTGTTTGCAGTTCATGAATCTTTGTTAGGCGCCCGATAATTATTGAGGCTGGTATTTTAGATGCTATGTTAGTAAAACGAATTCCTCTATGGCTAACAGGATTTTTTAACCCTCTCTTATATATTGGGACGATAAGTGATTGCAACCAGTCAGATGGGATGACATTTAGTTCCCAGATTTTAGCTAAACTACTAGTCAACTTAATCGCTAAAACTGGACCACCATTCTTAAAGTCCTCTGGAGTTAATCCATCTTGACCAGCTGCTCTTCCTCGTTTCAGATTAGTTATAGCCTTTTGAACTTTAGTTAGATTTTGGGAGCCTGTTTCAATGTTCCATTCAGGTTGTTTAGAAATGCTGAGTATTTGTAGAGTAGCTGAAGGCCAGCTGAACTGTTCCTTAAAGTGTTACACCCATCTTTCTAAACGTCTGGGCTGAGAGTAGATAAGAGTGCCGTCTTTTTCTCGAGATAGTCTCACTCACACTTGATTTCTTAATTCTAGTTTTTTTATTGGTCTGAAAAGCTGTCTGCCTTTTCTATATCTTTTGCTTTCGTTGCCCACCACTGTTCACAGTCGTTCCTTCGAATTTTGGTTAACCCAGATTTGATTTGTTTTCTCTTACCATCGTGTTTAAAGTCTGACGGGATAAGTTTACGAGAGTCTGTCAGTGCAATAGTTGTTGCAGAAATCCATTGGTTTTTCGTAACCTTTTGGTTCAAATCACTAATATATGTCGCTGCTGTTTCCACAGTTGTTTGTATATCTTTACAAGCAGTATCTGCGTCAGTTCCGTTTTCAGATCTACCTAATTGTGATTTCAGTTGTTACTAGAATTTACCTTTGGCTTTCAACTTTAATGTGTCTTAATTTAGCCTTTCTGGTTCCAATGAGGCGCAAGCAAACGCGTGATCGTATTACAGTGTGTACAGAGTCTATACATGTACTCCAGAACGAGCCGCAATCTTCTATTGAGCCTCTCCAACGATGACTGGTGGTAATATGTTCTATTCGAGTCCATCGTTGATTTAGTACAGGGGATCACCATGTTAGACGATGTCTCTCCTCATGCTTAATGCTATGACCTTGAATCGCTTTTTACCCCGTTGATACTTGTTATGACTCGACCTTGATCTGTTTAGTCTAAATTATGACCTTGACGCGATAGGGTGAGCGGCTTAACCTTGAGTCTATCACGCATGAGTTCGAGATGGGGTAGAGAGATAACTATTCTAGAACCTGATTGGTTGGCAAGCACGCAATTAGGAGAAGACAAGATAGTTGAAACACTGAACTCTGGATTCTCTGAATTCGGATTAGTACAAAAATGTACATGAATAAATAAGTCAATATCTTGACCACGACGTGCAATAATTTGGAAAAATACAATTATGCCGGAAACTGGGAATTAGGGTAGAAAATACGGTGCAAAATATTATGTTTAAATTACAATATTTTCGAAACAAAAAAGGGTATGGTAGTGAATGATACATAGAACGAAAGCTCATGTTATGTAGAATAAGATAGGGACAAAAATAAATATAAGTGTTTTACAGGGTTTGAATGAAATGAATTAACGTCCCAAGAAAATGGCTTTCGTAGTTGTCTGGGCTTCTTAATTCTCCGTTTACAACACTTAAAATTAATGCTTGTTAGAAATAAACGATTGTCTGAGCACAATCGCAGCAGACGATCACCATTATCTGTTCACTGCGCCGGAATACTGAAATACCCACCTAAATGTCTCTCCGTTTGGTTTAAGCTACTTACTTGGAAATTAAAGTCACCTGCTACGAGCACTATGTATGAGTGTTTAGCTTTCTGTAGAAGTTCAGAGAGCTTTCTGTAAAAGTCATCTTTCACCTCATCCGGGTTGCAGTCAGTGGGAGCGTAGGCAGGAACGTCGAAAAGTCAACAGCGTGTGTCCCTATCCTTACAGAGCCGTTCAGCTGAATAGCCCATAGACGACTGTTAACAGTGATCTACTAATAGTGCTTGTTCTGCCGTCGTACTTAGTGTCATGCTTACACCTGCCAGTTCTCGGAAATTCGCCTTTGGGTTGCTAGATAGACGCAGGGTGTATCTTTTCAGCTCCCGGTTTTGAAGGTGAGGTCAAGTGAATGACCACACTAGGATCCTGTATGTGTGTTTCGGAGATAGCATACATCAGTGGTACAAGATTCTAGGGCCTTGGCTAAGGGATGCCTACTTGCTGATTTGACATAAGATATATTCATTGAAAGCTCCAATGTGTAGTTTGGAGCGAGGTTTTAGTAGACATGGGATAGTATTTCGCATACTAGAATTGTTGGTCATGGTGACACTTGAAGAGAAAGTCAAAATAGGAAGTTTAGATTTGAAAGTTGACGTAGGAAGAGTAATAGGAATTAAAGAGGGAGATTAATTATGAATACAGTGATCCTGTGTGCTGTTAGAGATATGAGGGCGGTTATCATTTTGCGGTTGCCCACACTGTGGACGGGTTGTTCTAGAGGTACTTGAAAAGGAATTAAGGTTAGAGGTGGTTTTAGTGACCTGATAGCGTGACCGCAGTGCCCGAAGGACAGCTGTTTGTTGTCGGTCGTGCACAACCGTTTTGTGTTAGCTCTGTACTTGTTAAAACCTTGCCACCGGAAACGGATATCAATGGAGTAATGTGAGGTGTGATATTTTTAGGGTCGACTTTTTCTAACCCCTTCTTTCCGTTGGGGGCAAGCATAATCGCTGTTAGTCTGGTTGTCTGGGGGGGCACCCTACTGCTGTCACATCTCAGTACAGCCCTTGGACTGTGAGTTGCTGCTTTTAGTATTACCGATCTACCTGGTATTGTAGGTCCTGGAGGAACGATTGTTCCAGCCAGTATAGCCCGATTGATTCACCACGATAGGCAATCTCGACTACCACGTCAAGGTAGAAGCAACAATCGAATGATAGTGATTTGCTAGCTAATGGTTCTTTAGATACTGTGGGTTTCAAACTCTTGATCTAGTAAATGGTCTTTGTAGCGTTCAAATAATTGTAATCTTAATTCTGGAGTTACATTTTGTAGCATGGTTGTACGAAAACTTTCGTACTCTTTACTGTTGTTTCTAACGTATTAATGTATCACATATGTTAATGTTTAGGTTTGTCAATTTTGACATAGTACTATTTAAACTTGTGTTAATTTAATCCGGTTATTTGTTTACTCCGAAGAAGTGCCTTACATTGAGTCACGAAATGTCAGAAATGCAATTTTTCTATTCATTGGAATATAACAAGAAAACATGTTTAATATTAGAATACAACTTTATTAAAAAATTCCAGTAATATGTGATGATTCAGAAACTTCCTTACGACATGTAATTATTGTGTATTTGTTTTAACAAAATTAAATAGGTTAGATGATGTGGAGCAATTAAGGCAAACGTTGAATGCTTATGAAATAAATCAACATTTTGAGTCATCATCATCATCATCAGCTCCTAAGGTGAGATTAAAATTTCTGTGTCCATTAAACTAAAAGAAACTTCCAAATTTATGGTATAAATAGTTTTTTGAATTAAGTTCTATGTATGATATTATTGTGACGCCATTCCAGCATGTAGTGAAATAATACAGAAAACTAACGACACATTTGCACTATCCCCAGAAATTTTATAGTCCTATCTCCAGCAACTGAAAGTTTATTGTAGCTCTGATTTGATACAATGCAGTGGGAGTCCAAACACTGTCCTACTTGTCAAGGTTTGGGTAGACATATCTTACAGTTAGCAAAAAAATCTATCTTTGGTCAGTTAACCAGTCTTCGAACATATTTTACCAATAATTTTAGCGTTAGATGAAAGAATATTTTTCAATTGTGTAATATTCCTACGATATCGTTTCATACACGGTTATCTGTTTTCTGTCATACATGATAGTTTCCTGTTGTGTTTTACTTTTAAAATGTTCATTTTTACTCTGTTTTCTTATCCATAGTTTATTGATTTGTCTAGCTAAAATGTAAAGTATTTCTTAATCAAGTTAATTTATACAAATCAGTAAAAAGAAACATCGAATCCCTATTCGTGTTTTCATGAAATATAACTCGTTGAAGTTTTTAAAATTCCTAATTTAGTGCACCATTTTTTGTTGTCACTTAATATGGTTAAGTGGATAGAAATTAAAAACTATTAAGAGTATCATTAAATTAAATGGGCGTTCACAGATTCCATCCGAAATTCATTGTATACACTTAATTCGTTAATTTATTAAAGGAAGATGGAATCTACGTTGTAGCTGACTGACTGAAATGGAATCTCAATTATTTTGTAATTTCTCATTTACAAAATATTTGTTACTGCTTGTCAGTATCCTCTGTGAATGAATAATCTAGAGCTTTGATAAGGATTTTTTAAAATAGCGAAGTATCAGTTAAAGTAAAAGTATTTTTAAGCTGTTTAGTGGAATTCTTGTTTCTTTCCCATTTCTCATTTTGGGCATAGATATTCAAGGGTAGAAGTGGTTTTCAGTCTATTTAGTCTTACGACATATCGCTAACTATTTCATACAATATCTGCACTTGTATGGTTTTATAGTGTTTTGTTTTTTCTCGTTTACACTCGACTGTCTTGTAGAGTATGAAAAGAGATAATTTGTCATCTCCTCATCTTAAAAGTATGGAAGCGTTGAATGAAGATAGTCCTAATACTCATAAACAATCATACGATCATTCATCATACATACCGTCGTCAATTGCTGAATTCAGTTTGTCTACTGACTTATATAATGATTCTTTACATCCGAATTCCTTGAGTAATTATAATATATACTCAGCAAACGATCCATTGACTTTTGATCAAATACGTAATTTACAATATCGCAAAATTCTAAATTTCAAGGGACGAAGTTCTGGAAATGAGTTTTGTTCACCAGTTGCTTTATCAACGAATCCTTGTAATAAATACCATCTAAGTGAACCCTATTATGAACTTAGACATTGGCTACAAGTTACTTATGAATTGGAACTTAAACGTTATTGTGAAAAAAGAATGAAAGCTGAAAAGAAACTGGATTTCGCTCGTCAATCTGTAACTAAATTTATTAATAATTTTCTTAAATTATTATTTTAATTTATCTGAATTATTATTTTTATCTATTGAGTATATTATTTTTCGACTGCTAAGTGTTAACACATAGTCCTGTATAACTCAAAATGTTTTTACTCCACTGATTGGTAGCCAACATCATTTGTAGCCCTTAGCGTGCACCAGTTTACATGGATCAAGCTTGGACGATAACTAATTGATTCGATTATTAAAAATGTTATTGTACTTTGTCTAATATCGAAAGGTTAGATATAACAGACATTTAAATTTTTAATCCAAGATTTGTTTTTGTTAACATGACAATGGTTTTTCTCTTTATCCATTGGTCCAAATGCACTCGTACATAGAGTCATTCACAGTATGAATAACCTACTGGAAAAACCTCTTATAACAGTAATTCGATGTTGTTTCAGATTTCCGTGGACGCTTCAATTCCCTCATGTTTGTAAATATGTTTTATTTGACAATTAGCGATAAGAATAAAATATAAACTCAGTTTACATAGCTATCTCACCACTTCTGTTTAGTAACATGTCGTGGCAGCAGTATTTAATGTTTAATCAACAATCTGTTTATGATATACTTCTATCTGTCATATTTGGCTAGGAAATTGACAAAGTTTCCACCGTATGACCAAATACGACCAACTGACATTTAGCTGGTCAATTAGGATTAAGAAAATAGTAGTCTCTTTGGTAGAATAGCACTTTTAACTTATACTTATCAATATAGTTGACTGGTATTTTCGTTTATTTAGCACTGAGTTAAATTGATGTGCCGTTAGCTTACATGAATGAAAGTTATGAAATGTTGCATTGAGAGTATAAAATTTACGAATAAGTATCTTAAAACGAATTGTTTACCATATATGGTTTTTTGACTGTTTGAGATTATTATGAGTACTAGATAAAACTTTTTTTTGTGTCATTGTGTTTCTGATTTGAAAAAAGTATATGGAAAATTCAATGGTAAGATTCAATGTAAATAGGTAAAAACTTTTCCGAATAATTTTTCTAATTTGAGAACAACTATTTCAAATGATGTATTTAATACGAATATCGATCCGAGAGAAATTAGTTAGATAAACTTGCTAGTATTTCTGTCATAGAACTAGTTATAGATATGTTATTTTTTACAATATTTGTTCAATTCAAAAGAGACGTGATATTTTCATTTTGTTATTAAATTCATTATTATTCTTTATTCAAGTGTCATTTATTTATGGCCATAATATAATTTATAAGTATACTGTGTATAAGTTTTTCTAAAAGCTTCATCATTTATTACTAGATATGATGTAGTGTAGCTGTTACTGATGTTATTAAACAATTATGTGTTTCCACTCAGTTTTGTTTGGGTTAACTGTATTTAATTTTCAACAGAACACAATTTTTTAACCTTTGGCTTTTATGTATTTGTTGCTCCTAGTGTAGACGTTTTATGCGTAAACGTTATGGTATTTTTGGTTCAGTTCGACTAGTAAATGCGATAAATTTGGATGAATTGGAAAATCGTTTGATTAGTGCGAAGTAAGTTATCGTTTATTATGATACACAATATATATATATATATATATATATATATATATATATATATATATATATATATATATATATATATATATATATATATATATAGTTATTTTCTGTTTAAGTATAAAGTTTTGTTTTCTTCATAAATTTGTAATAATAATTGTTTAAACGCCATTAAACTCTGAATAAGTCCGAATTCGGAAAGTAGAAAAATCTGTTGACTCTGGTCTTGATCGGAGTAAATGCAAAATGAACTGTTAATCAAAATGTTTAAGATTCAGTTTAAAGTAATACAAACATAGATCTTTGGTTTGCACTATGGCTCTTTGAATTATAGAATAATCATATCAGGTTAGCAGCATCTCTTAGTTCTTCACTAGTGAGTTTGATCGTATGTAAAATAATGATCATGTAACCTTTCTACTGGGTTTGAACACTATCAATATGATTGATAATCAAAATAATAATAAAATTTCCTCTCAAAAGCACACAAAAGAATGATCAGTGAAAAATCACGTAATGTACATAAATCCTTTTAAAAAATGGGTCAACTACTTTAAAATGGATAAATTACAACAAAAAAGCTGAATTAAGATAGTTTGTGACCTGACTGAAGTAGATTTATTAGGTCAGTTCTGGTTTAATGACTTTATTGTGTCATATGCAAACACCATGATTAACTTGATGTGTTGTGGTCAATTCAATATAACAAAAAAGACTTATGTGTATTTACCTGGTAATTATCGTACTAGGACTAAAAATATGTTTAGTATTTTGAATTTATTAAGCAATGTGGAATCACATGTGTGAATAACAGAATTTCTCGAACTTTGGGTTTGCGGTGCATCCGTGGAGTAACGAATGATTGTTCGTAAATCTGTACTTCTAATACTCTTTCTCTAACAAGCATAGGTGAATTAGTATATTCTCAGAGTGAATAATTATATATGTTTGCGAAATAAGATCAATAGTAAAATATTGGAAGTTTATTAGTTGTGCTTTTTTGTGACTGATGCTTAATAGTTTGTTCTTGTTTTATTCATTTCTTTTCATGGATCCAACACTTCCTTCGTAGATAAGCGACCTAGGAATTTTCCTTAATGGATTTAACTGTTCCAGTTAACAAGTATTTATCATTTTATGTGGCATCTCATCTTATTCCTCTCGCAAACCTTCCTTTTATTTCCATTACTGACAGATTGTTTTGTTTCTATGTGCTTTCAGACCATTCGAGTTCCCACTGAGTTATTGCAGTGTAACCAGGTAATATGGGCTTGAAATGCATATTAGCTTGTGGGATTTCCTATACGATGTCTTTTTGAATTCGTTACTTTCGCGTAATTCATGAGTTATGAGAACTCTCTGGGATATTATTGAGAGTCATACTACTTACTCTTTATTGTTAATAAATTTTACAAATTGTTGTGTTCTTTTGATTGCATCTCCTCATTTCCTTAGCTATTTGGTTGATCCTCCCACATTGTCCGAACATTTTATGTAACTATATTAATTATTGCTCTGGTTGTTAGAAAAGACATCGGCCTTGTGACTTCCGAAGAATCTCGGCTTTCGCCATGAGGTGTCAGAATTCTTCTGAAAGAAAATCTTTCATGTGTCAGGGAGGAGTTTAAGTGGTTTAATTTGTTTGTTCTGGTTAGCGTTTTCTTAGCAAGCCTGTTTTCGATGGATGGGGTTGCTGACTCCATGCCAAACCCCCTTCTTTACCTGGATTTGGGACTGGCAGTAACCGTAGAAGAGCTACAGGCGGAGTTTTTCATTTTTATACTCAGTGTAATAATCACAAGGTTTTTATAATTTCGTATATTTTTCAGAAAATTGTCGAAAAGTATGTCGTCTAGTATATTTCTTCCCACGTTAGTTAACGATTAAGACAATAGTTTTACAACGTTCTTGTTTAATGCAGTTAACGAATATTATATACATATAACCGATTATCCGATAATAAATATTGCGGAAAATGAAAAAGAATTTTACTGAGTATATCATCTAAGCTTTGTCATTATCATTTTACAGTAATTTAGTATTTGATGTACAGCCTAGTATACTGTATTTGATTATTACCTTCTTTTCTAGACAAGCTTTGGATCAACTTGAAAGTGAAGTTCAAGAACGTATAAACCGTTGGAGTCGTATTGAAGCTTTAACTGGTCACTTGATACGTCCAGACATTCATAATCAATATGCGAAAAGTAGTATTTGTGAAACTGCAAGTTCAATTCCTTGCTCAATCGATAAGTATAGATATTGTAATGGTAGTATAAAGTCTAGTGATTCTGATCGTTTGTCATCTATGATTGAAGAAACTTCTCTAGAATCTAATCGTTTTCCTAAATCTGCTGGTAATGGTTTAGTGAATGATTTCGATTGTACTCATAATAAAGAAAGTAAGTCTTAGAATCATATTTTTATTTGAATATTTCGGTTGTAGTTCATTTGGGACAGATAGGAGGATATTTTTACGTTGCTGTTGATTAATTGATTGTCTAAATGATGATTGTTTAGTGTGTTACAGATTATACGCATAATACTTTATTATGTTGGCTTCAGTCTACTTACAAATCAACATTGAAAACTAATATTTACTTTTTGTGAATCTTATATTTGTGTAGTTTTCAACTTGAAAGAATCATTTCAATTAAACACTGAAACGACTGATACATTCAGGACAAGTTTACCGCGAAATTATTCTTTTGTCCGACCGTTTGCTACTTTATGGAGACGTAAGACAAAATCTGGTCAAGGTAAATCAGATTCTAAACAGTAATTATATAAAATTTCTCTTTTTTTCCTCAGAGTAATACACTTATTTTATTTTAATTTCTGTTTTCTTTCACTATTTATCTTCACAAGATGTCAAGCTGAATCTTTAAAATGACTTCATTAGATTGTTTGTTACTTCCTGTTATATATATATATATATACGAATAACCTTAGCATACATTCCTTGAATCATTAGTGTGTCTTTCTATTAGACTGTATATTTGAACCTTAAGGGGAAATTCTTTGACTGAAATCACTGTGTTTAGAAATTTTGTGCAATTTTGACTTTATTTTCAAGCGGAAATTTATCATTTATTTACCTTGACCTGTTTATTTAAATCTTCTGACTGCCATAGTACTTTACATTTGCTATAATATACCTATATTGGTTTTCCTCTTTTGTTTGTACTTTCTTAATATTACCCAGGTTGGTAATAACTTTAACTGTGTTAAAGGCATTTATATTTATTTTAATTAAATTTTTTCTTATGATAGACTCCTTTTTTCACTTATTTCAAATTTGTCAGTCACAAGGTGAATTTTATCTTATTTCATGTTGATGATCGTCTCTAACAACTTTGAATGACGTAAAGTGACAGAATACGAATAATTAATTGTGTCGTGTTGATTCCTCCTAAGTTACGTACGAAGTAAAAAGTTTATTTAATTCCAAATATCAGTTTAGGTGGAATTGTAGTTAGCTTTCATTTAGTGAATAGTAAGTTGTTTAAAATTTCAAATTGTAATAAACTCTTGGAAGAGCTTTCATTAGCTATCTGAGCAGTAAGGTTCACGGAAGACAGAGTGCTTGGGGTGGGATGAACGGTTAGCAGGAAATGCTTTTGGTTATAATGTAATTCCGCATTCATATTTTTGCGGATAAATAAGAGCTACAAATGCGCAAAATGAGAAGTTTAACGCATTGATAAATGATTCTGTAGAACAGCCATTTGATAACTAGACATTTTAGTGGCAAAGTATGAATGTAACTTGGAAGTGTTACATTGTACTACTAGAAAATTTGCACACTTGCTTCAACAACTGTCATTGGTGTGAAATGGAATTAGATAGTGTTGTTCAGAAACGTATTTCAAACTAACCAAATCGGCATAGAAAGTTTCTCGAAAGTTTCCAACTAATCACCGCGCGAAGAAAGGAAACCATCTAAACGTTTAATCAAGTGACCTGGGATCCATAAAGTCGAGCTACTGCGACGTCATTATCATATTGTTAGTTATTTTGTGTATGAAACGTTCAGATAGATGGGATTGTCATTGGCTCCAGTCCTAGTTGATTTCCTTCTGTGGAAATTGGAATACATCCATCTAAAACGAGTGGTAGGCACACTAGGATCTTATTGTCGCTTCATGTACGATACAGTCATAGTTACAAAAGACGATAGCGAAGCTCAGAACCTACTATGAAAATTTAATAGAGTCAACCGGGCAATAACCTTCACAATTGAAAAAGGAAAGTACGACTCCATATTTTTAGGTGTACTATCTGCGAAAAGAACTAGTAATACTTTAAGACGTTATTACTGGAGAGGTGTCCCGTGTTATTCATTTCGTTTGCAGAAAAAATGTGTTCGAGGTAAGATGGCAGACATGCGTTTGATATTCTGATGCTGAAAATGTGCCTGATTAGATATGATATTCATCTTAGTCTAGCAGGTTTTAATTCTTTTCACCAGTGACAATGTTGCCAGATAATTTTTCAAGAGTTAAAATGAATGGCTCCTAAGAACTTTATAAAAGACGATCTGCGAGAATTTATTGACTCGCGAGGTTGTGGAACTTAGTCAAGTTACAATTTCTACCTATAACCCTTAGAAACATTGTACACTAGCAAACTTATATATTGCAGTGGTATAGTTACATGCGAAATCGAACCTATCTCCAAGTCCCGACAGTCACACAACTTCAATGTTGCTTGTGTCTATCATAAACTATTGACAATATTCTTTGATTAAGCAATTTTTCCAAGAATTCGGTGTGTCAATCTGTGTCCACAATTTTTGCTTCTGATGACCCTGGGATTCTGCGCTTACTCATTTCCTTTGATTCAAATGCCATCATTCTATCACGGTTTGTCATGTCCGTCAAAGTAAAGAACGAGGAGAAAGACAGTTACTAAAAATGTCCCTTACACCAATCAATAATAAGAAACATCGGTTACTCATCGACTACCTTGTAGTACAATTGGATGGTTTTTCAATAGTAATCGGTTATGTTGATCAGTGCAATCACTCTTGTTGCAATTCTAGTTAGGGCTGTTAACTCAACCTGGTAAATCTCAGTTTTCTCAAAACTTCACAACTGAAAGAAAACTTTAAGGCTGAAATCATTAATATAGTCGGCTGCGTATATCATAATTGGAATTGACAAGTCTGTCATTAATACCTTGCAACAAATCCAAAATGTTTTCGCGAGTCAAATGTTATAATAAAGAACAAACACGAAATGTGATTTCGGGATTTTTTACTGGGTTACGTATTCCATGATACGGAAAATTGAGGATGAGTGACCTCTACTCACTACAAATTTTTGGAAATATGCTATCTACAGTTAAAATGTAGTCAAGAACCTAATCAAAGAACGACATGTGACTTCTCTATTTATAGGTATTTTGCCCAGGCTTCCACTCAACGCTTATTCTATAAAACATTTTGCAGCATCGAATGAGCTTCTGGAGATATTGACGAGGGATATATCTTGACTCTCTCGCAGTGACAGAATAACCATAACAGCGTGGCCCCAATGAATTCTGTTTTTCCAAAACAAATAATAACATAACCAAAAGATAAATTCCCAAAAATACGGACTGAAAAAAGAAAATACTCTTAGAAATATTTTTAAATTTATAAAAATAATGCTGGTAAACTAGACCGAATCTCACATAATTCATCATTATTCATAGCGATATAGTTGTCAGTAAAAATTTGATATTACCTGTTTATTGACATTCCTCATTTATCAGTCTGTCATTTGGGAATCAACTATTATTATTGTAAGTAGTCTGTTTATCATCCTCTCTGAGACTTTCTAATTGGTCAGTTGTAAGAAAAAATTATTTTTAATACATCTGGCGACCTGTGACAAAAATGTCTCTAGAGCAAACCTTGAAGTAATCGCTGACTAATCTTAATTGAATGTGGATTACTTTTACCTAGTTTTCCACAGTTTTATTCGTCTTTATCTAAAGCATAGAGATTTAATTCTTACTCCTCCATTCAGAAATTATGAGGATGCTCTGCAGTGTACCGAAAAATATGTAAAGTAATAAGTTCACGGAACGAATATCGAACCTTATAAATTAGCATTTCAGGTGTTTGTGACTCATTCTGATTACATTACATAGAATTTCTTAAATACCCTTTCCCATCATCCGAAATACTAGCAAAATTTCATTTTCAGCACAAAGTTTGGAGGAAAATATAGCGAACCAATTGTACAATATGTGAGAATAGATTGTAGCTTAATTTTTCACTGCTTTGTAAAGGTCGAAGTCTCGAGTGTTCTACCAACTAAGAAAGTTCAGGAAATGTTCTGCACATCCTTCAACCGGAAGACTGGCAAATTGTTGCTGGTAATAAATAACGGCTTGCAGGTTCACATAAATGTCACTGGGTCCTGTCTAAATCATTTGGCTCTCAGGTCATCTCTTTTGTATGTATTGTACTGCCATCAAATTAGCCATTGTACCCGCATACGACCAAAGGGTAATCTACATTGCGAAATAACTTTGGGTGTGGCTCCGACGTTCAAATCGGATAGACCACCAATCGTCGACGCAGATCATATAGTTTTGCGATCTACAAACTCATACCAGTTCATTAGTATTATATTCATTTCTTCTTATTTCATATGCATTGGATGCACATGCGATCCATTACTACAAATAGAGAAGCTCGCTAGGCGAACGTTCTTCCTGTTGTATCTTAAATCATCTGAAACACTTGAAATATTTGAATCTTGTTTTAGTTTCTTTGTAGTTGGACTGTTAGAAGGATATCTGATAACCTAAAATTAAGACGTCATTCAACACGAAGCAACATTTTTTCAGTTCGTTAAAGTAGGACAAAATATTGACTTAAATCTCGATTACTGAAAGGTTCTATACTCATGAGTATCCGAAAATACTTAGATTGAAGCATTTATTCTAAAATTTAGACAAGATATAGTGACTTGACAAACGAGTATAGATTCAATGGTGATCATCACGCGTAATGAAGGGCAGCTGAAGAGAGCGCACAACAATATTGAACTCTTTGATTAGCGGCTGTGGGGAATAAAGTAGAATATGATATAGCGTTAATCAGTATTTATCTGCAGACTGAAAATCTGAGTACTAATTTATAGAAAATCGGAGTACATTCAGCACAAGTAAACCAAAAATAAAAGATATTTTAAAAACGATAACACTCAAGAAATTAGATATGATATTTATGAGATGATACTCATTTTTAATGTCTAGACATTTTTATTGTACACTGAAACATCATCAAATGTACATGTCTCTACGAACTCACCTGTTAGTTTTTTCAAGAAAAAAAATTCTGAGGGAACTACTGGAATTGTGACTAAGATCATCATGACCTGTGTTCTTGACTTTGAAGTCAAGACGTTTTAATGTGCCAAGGCCAACGCGGGTTTATTAAAATGTTTAAAGGGCCGGGGAGGGGTTGTTTGATGACATTTCTAGTTCTTACCTCGTTAATCTACAAGTCATCTCAGATAGGTAAAGGCTATTAACATTTCATAATATCGTTTTGATTTTTGTAAGAACTGTGGTATGTGGTTACGTAGGAGTGTAATTTTCATTTTTCGTAGTTATCACTATGATAATGCAAAAATATTGAGTATCAACGCTCAAGATGTTTCAGATTTATGTAATTCAATTTATGGCTGGTTTTTTTTCTTGTTTACAATACTTCATAGTATTTTGTTTGGCTCAATTTGTATAATTTTAGACAATTTCACTTGTTAGCGAGTGGATTCAGTAAGTATAAATTTATTACTTTTTGATAGCCATTAATTCTCTAGGGAAAATCCTCAAGGTATTATGTTAAGTGGTCATTATAGCTGCTATAAAGTTGTTGACACGTGACTTGTTTCCAGTGTTTTGTACTTCTTAATTCTACAAAATTTCTCTTTTATCCCAATAAACATTAGGTTTCGGCCCTGCTCGCGATTTGAATCACCTATAGTTATTTCCTTTCAGTGGCGCTGCAATGCAGTGGAAATCGTTACTTATGATTAATTAACTGCAATTTAGTATTTTGTTGAAATATACTTTATGATTGCTTTCATGACAATAATGTCATCAAATTCATGACCAAATCAAAAGTTAGTGAATTGGGTGAGACGATAATTTCCAGAAGACCTTTGAAGGAAGCTGAAGTGACTTCGAGAGTGGACGCTTACTGATGAGGACTAAATGAAGGTTATATAACTTAGAATTCTCAATTGCAGTTCATAGTTAGGGTTAAAAATTAGATTTAAGGTTTTCATCACGAACTGACATCAGCTATAATGCCAGAACTATTTAGCCATATGTATGGATAGATTGTGTGCCAAAATTTGTGACTCTGTCTTATATCTTATTGGTTCGTCTATAAATTTTAGTCTCGCCGTGTTGCACAATTTTCGGTACTTCATATTCTGCATAACGTTTTCTAACAATTTGTGTGCATAAGCTTTATAAGTTTAATATCTGCAACTACTAATACGAAGATTTTTTTAGGTTCAGTTACACCAGAAATTATTGTACTAGATACCAATGGCAACCAAAAAGAATTGGATGGTATTGCTATTGTTTACAATTCCTACGTCACTCTAATTTGCCGTACAGTTTCTGACGAACATCTTCTAAGATGGCTGTATGCACCATCACAAGATGGAACGTTTACGCCACTAAATAATACAGGACACATTACCATTTCTTCTCAAAAAAATGAAGAAGTATCGTTGCTGCTCGTCAGCGTTCAGTTTAATATGTCGGGCGTATATCAGTGTACTAATGGACTTGCCAGTCGTCAGATAGACGTTCATGTTTATGGAGGTATTTTTATGTTAATAACTCAGTTTCTTGTTTAGTTTTAAACAAGATTAGTAGTACTGTCCACTTGATAAAAAAACATGAGGTGGTTGGTGCTTACAGTCTTCAGATTAACACAATCAATTCAAGTTATCATCCTGTTGTTGCGTGTGAATTTCGAGTTGGTTCAAACGGTATACGATACACTACTGTCCGTTGGAGAGGCGGAAAGTATCATGTTAAACCCAATCTTTACAAAGTTACTGAGAGTCGAGATGAAAAGTCTGGCATAATATGGAGTAATTTGACATTGCTTCATCCTTGTAAGCTTGATGATTTCACTCCACTTGTTCTATAATACTTTATATTTCATCCCTAAGCTTGATAATTCATATAACCTGGTACTTGTCACATGTGTAAAGATTTTTTTTGTCTAGTGACATTAACCCAATCACTCGATTTACAATCACTAGTGACAGATCCCATTTCCACTCTATGTACTTCTATGTATAAGCATATTGTGTTTCCATTTTTCACATAACAATTGTGACCTATAGCCTAGTACACAAACATTTACTAGGCTAATGATTCGATAGTACATATCTTTTTTATTACATACTTATGCTCTTATAGAGACTTTGAAAATCATTCATTAGAGTCACACTCAAACGTTACTTTTGAAATCTTCATATCATGATAACGTGAAGTGGCGAGTTATTAAAAACAAGAATTTTCAAATTATTTGCAAGGTTAGAGACAATCAACTTTCCTAAATGTCTAGAACTTGGGTGTCTTTCTATTTCGGATGTCAACATCTTATTACGTATCGCATATTCTGTATTTGACTCTACGTCGAATAAAAACCACTATTCTTCACACTTGTATTATAGTACATTAAATTGAATAACAGGCTTATCGCGATAGTAACAGCTCCATAAATTCTAATCATACTAATTGCTGCTTAATTGGCTGTTAGTTTCAGTTACTATGTTAAGCCCATATAGTTTATTCTAGCTTCCGGACAGGCTAATTTATCCATTCTTCTTGAGTCACGTTTTGGCCTTGTCAGTTATTCACTTATCAACCTTAACTGTTTTAATATGAGCGTATGTGTGTAGACTTCTTATCATATTCGTCAAATATCTGTAACCTATTTTTACCTTGCCATAAGTTAACGCTCGATTAACTAGAGTTGACTTACATGTCTTCTCCATTGTGTGTCATTTCGCTTCATTCTCTTCTCTTCGTCCTCTGATTACCTGTCTAGATCAGTGAGTATACAGAATATATGTATTCAAAAATCCATTCTCGTATTTGGCTTATTTACTTCCATTATCAACTAACACGAACGAAGTTGTTTATTACATACGAGGGTAACCGACATGTGTATTTCAATAACATTCATACGATCAAATTGGAATCTGACATTAAGCCACCAAAGTGGGTAGCCCGTCGATAACATCTTTCGATCTAAGTGACGTCAAAATGAAGGGCCTCACTAAAGAATATTTATTTATTATCTCAATTGATTGATCTATGATTTAGCTACTCTTCAGATTTAGTTTTCCATTAGTTGTGCGCTAGTGAATAGAGGAATAAATTAGTCCTTTTACGTTCAGAAGTACGTATTTGTGTCATTCAAGGTTTTATGGAAGGTAAGGGTTTCATGTCGCATAGTATGGAAAATATTGTTAAGGTTAAGAAGTTTCTATTCAATCGTAATTAAATGCGTTTTAGATATGGAAACTACCTTCGTTAACACTGATGCTTGTTTTTATTGAGTTTTAACGTATGATTTTACTAGGTTCCTGTATATTTTACGAAATATGATTTGTTTATCGTTTGGAATTGTTACTCTTAACATAGCCTATGACCAAGAACTGTACGGAAAATATTACTGCATGTTCAATATTGTACCTGGTACTATGGAGACAGCTGAATTACAAATAAGCAGTGAGCTAGTTTTTGATAATTTATTGTAATACCATATTAATATTTATGTAAAAGTGGTAGTTACAAATTGGTCGTTCAGGTTTTTTCATTGAATGACCAAAGTAGGTATTTATATTGCTAGGAAATATTTATTATTGCCGAAATAGTAGATTATCCGGTAAAAATTCACTAGGTAGCACCACAACTCATCTCATGATCCTTTTAACAATCATCGGAATTCTTGAAATTCAATAATTTAAACTTTAAAATACTGTGAATTCAGGTTACCCCATTAGAACTTGCTAAAATGTGCTTTTATTCACACTCGTTTTGAAGCCTTTAATCTATGGATGAAACTTTATCGTCGTTTAACTTCAAAATTTTAGAGACTCATCTCTCAGTGAAAATCCTACAAGTGCTCGGTTGTATTTTCATTAACCATCGCAGGGCCGGCATTTAACAATCCTTATTCTTTCTCGTTTTATCGTTAGTTGTTAATAACTGAGTTAGAGAGTAAATCACTCGTGATGAAAATCCCAGTTACGAGTTAAAGCTGCGCTATTTTGGTCATTCGACCATCACCCGTTGTGACCACGGTTAGAAAAATTCAAACCTTTTTGGTCTGAATAATACTAAAAAATACCAAACAATGTTGTTTTGCAGTTGATTAAATAAATTAAGAGATCATGTAGCACTTACTTACAAAGTTGTCATTAATTGGTATTAATGCTTAATTCCTAATAAGTCATGATTTCATATTTTACATCCGGGACTAATCTTGATTAGACCACCTTTGTAAACCAGGTAGCACTGAACAGTCATCAGTGATAGTATAACTAAGATCACTTCATGATGAAAATCTAATAATCTCCAAAATACCTGATTGGTTATAATCCATTGTTACAACCATACATAATTACAAGCGTACGTGCACGCACATATGATTCATATCCTGGCGTCTCCCTGATAACTGACTGTTTTCTTTTTTATCCAGACTGGATAAGAAGAGTAAATCTTCGGTGAATTTTAGTACATTTTCATATAAATAATAGGAAATCAAAGCAATACGCAACAAATCATATAATTCAATTATAAACACCTTTATACTGCTAGGTTTTGTTACATGCGTATGTTGTTTGGATTCATATCAACCATTCTCTGTACATATCTTATTTACTTACTGTTATATCCCGACGAGAATTATGAATGTTAACAACTTTTGAGAACTATTTATGGACAAGTGTTATGCGTATATTAATGTATAGCTATTTAGTAGCTAGATTGTTTATATCTATACCTTTATTACACGCTTTCTTTTGACCTATAAACTATTATTATACGATTTACCGTTCTTGAGTTGTGCTCAGTTCATTAATTACAGTCTTCCACATTCACAGATACTTTTGGCTAGATCTTGTACAAGTGTTATTTTCCTTTTTATAGTACGATGTGGTCTGTTTGGTTTGTACATAAACCCAATATATTTAAAATACTTAATTCGTATCGCAGAAGCTGACATTGGTGTGCTGGACTTAACAGGCATGTCTAGGCAGGAAGAAGGACCGATAAAGACTAGACTGCTCGTACGGATTTTATGCGTCATTGGTCCGGTCGATAAATCACTGTTCTCTAATTGGCGATATCATTGCGTAATATATTAATAGGGCACAAGGTCACAAGACATAACACAGTTAGACAAAAGTAATAAAGAGTTTCGGTAATGCGTTGAGTAGACGGCAAGTAACGAAGAAAAAAGAAAAAAACGATGAAATTATTAACAATTAGTGTGTCTAAAAAGGTTGAATAAAGGTTAAGAAAATATGTAAAATCACCGAAAATGAAATATTACTGAACAAGGAAGTGTTATTTGAAGTAATATATAAACAGTTTATCCGTTTCATCAAAAGTGTACGATTATCTATGTTAAGTTGTAAGTTTTCATCAACATGTATAAATAGGTTTCGATTTAATTTAGGGGAAAGCAACTATCACTATTTGTAGGTTATGTGATGAACGTTGAGATGAACTACATATTTAAACTGAGAGAAGCGTTTCAGTTTTTCAAGTTGGACATTATTACAATCTCAACATAATACATCTTAAATTTACTCCTGAACATGATTTACTATCCATACTTTCCGGTGGAGTTTTGTTCTTTGAAGTGGATGGCTTAATCGTCGAGCTTTTACTCAAAGCTTGTGCTAATGATGTTGCCCGGAAGAACGATGAAGATTCTACAACTAAGTCATCGAGCTTAGAGAACGAAGCTCAACCAGAACCGTTCACCTGAACGACAAATCTTCTGCATCTTAATATTCATAATACTGATCAATTGTATCTGTGTAGGATTTTTAAAATAGTATTGTTGTACAAAAAATAATTATTTTTAGTGACTTATTTACTAATAATTGAGTTTAATTGGTGCTATGACTTTAAATTAACCGTTAAACTAATTTATTTTTTTCCTTATACCTTCATACTCGACAATTTTTTCTTATATACATATCAAGTTCCACCATTAATACACAAAAATGAACGTAGTGTAAATCTTTATTCTGGTGTGAAATACACTTACTTCTGTGATATTATTGCCTACCCACCAATCACTGAACCTGTTTCATGGATGAGGAACGATGTTCCTCTAGTAATCCAACATAATGGGAGAATTTCTGTTCATGATAATTCTGAAAATCGTATACATTTTGAAAGTAAAAACGTTCTCAATGATCAAATTGTATTCGATACAATACAACCAGATGATAGAGCTGTCTATTCATGTTTTGTTCGTGGAGCATTTGGAAATGATACGGCGGCTTTCTTTTTACGAGTAAAAGGTTGGTTTTTATTTCAAATTAAATTTTTCTGATAGAAATATTCAAATTTATATGGTTAAATGTGTAATACAAGACAATTTGAATTCAGTCAACTAAGTTTTTTTGTTTACGAAATAATGTAGCCTGTTTCGATTCGTTCGTCGATAAGATATTAATCATCCTAAAAATACATGGTAATAATATGTTTTCCTAATACGTGTAACATTAAGTGAACATTTTATAGTCTGGAAATGTATTCTAACTAGTGATATTTTTAAAAAGCTTATTCTCACCCTTTTTCTTCGCTTTTCATCATATTTTTCTTGTTTATCCTAACATTTTGATGTGTGTATTGCTGAGAACTGTAGTGACATGAATATACAGGGGGTTGTTTGGTTTTATACTTCAAAGGTTTGTTCTTTGCAGATAAATGCTGTAAGGAACTCAGTTCTTATTTTTCGTATGAATTTAATGTGTCAGAAACTAGTATATTCAGTTTGTGAATATGTGATGAAAGTGTACAGAATGTAGATCTAAAATCTTCAAATCATGAGAATGGTTTGTACATAAATATTCTCTGCTCAATCTGAATTCTATCGTTTTAATGATTGTTTTTCTAAAGAGACTACTCTTTACTTAAACTTATCTTGTATACACGGCAGTCAGTCAGTCACAACGTAAAACCTGTACGTACGTATGTTTTTTCAAGTCTCCATACCCTATTAACATAGAGAGATGAAGTTGTCAGGCCAAATCTCAGAATAGTAGAGGTATTAACAATGTCCGTAGTAATAGGAAAGACTAGACATTGAAGATGCGACTCGAAAAGAAAATATAAATTGGCGAAATAAAAATGTAAATTTATGAAGAATATAGAATTTCGGGATTTAGGGAAATCTAAAGAATGGATGCATCTGCACCATTGCAAATGACTTTGAGTCATGTCATTCGAAGTCTATAATCACTGGTTACGTTAATCACGTGGTTCCCAACCAGGTAGTCTGTACCTATTAACATGAGTCAGTCTGATTGTCAGTGACTTCATGAACAGATATCAGGGTTTGGCTGTTTCTATTGTTCCTCCTGACTACTGCACCGGAAAACATTATCCGCCAAGGTAGGAGGTGGTTGGGCATGCGTAACACATATCTCCGCCATCTCAATTGATGAAAATTTGCTACCTCATCATTTGATTCCCCATCTTTACCTAGTACTCTACTCTTAACCCAAATATTATTTACTCTATGGTCCCAAAATACACGAGCAATGCTTCAAATACTAGTAACTTATGAATATACTCTACTCCACGTAGCCATTAGGCTATGTATCACATCCATCAAGTAGAACGGAGAAAACTGTTGAGCAGAAAACTCGTCCTTTGGTTGGATGATGGATATCTCGCCTACATCATAAGTGACGAGAGTTGGCAAAGCCACTCAAACTTGGTAGATAGTGAACATCATATTAATCTTTCTCTGTTTTATATCAAGTTCCAAAGAATCTACTTCAAGGAACTAGATTGCGGTTACTCTATATAGCCGAAGCCATCTGTATCAACTCCAAAAAATCGAACTTATATGTTCAAAAGAGGTATATTTAGCCTCTATGTTTACCGTGGCCCACGACTAGATCACCTCTCATTACATATGTTCATACAGCGATATTATTATTATCACCTCGATTAATAAGATGGAATTCTTCTATTATTCATTTTACTCACACAATTTTTTTTTTGCATTACTATTATACTGATTATGACTTGAAACTTTACTACAAATCATTCTGACCTTTCTAATTTATAAATAACAAATATGTCGTAACAGATGCAAACTTTCACCATTTTTAACACATAACATTGTCAAATTCATTAATGAATGCCTTATTTTGGCTTTTGTAAGATATTATAATTATGAACTTATAACTATAACCTGATAATGAAGTTGTTGAAAACACTTATCCGCTCAAATATCTTCTATTTTGTATAATTTTTAAATCTAGATAAATATTTATTTCATAGCATGTAGTCAACCGATCTCTCACACCAGTCTTAGATAGAAAAATGAATCCACTATTATTGTTCTGTTGTATATATATATATATATATATATATATATATATATATATATATATATATATATATATATATATATATATATATATATATGAACCTAGCAAAAAATTGCAGTTTTCATGGCTTCTCTTAACAGTATGAATATGCTATTTACAATCCTAATTTTTGACTGCTATTTAATTTGTAACATTGTAACGCTTTTTTGATGAAGTAAATTTTATCGATTCTATTTTATATTGTTGATGAATTCTTATCGAAGCTTCTTGTTAATTTGTTATTTACATTTCATCAAAAGCAAAAGCTCACACCATATATTAGATCTTTGGTTTTCTGTACTTTTTAAAAATATCAAACTTATGTTTAATTTATTTTCAGAAGGGGTTTGTGGAGATTTTAGAAATTTTCACGCACGCGAAGCCAGTAGGTCCTGGGTTCGAATCCCGCGGGGTGCGGGTTCGTGGATGCGCACTGCTGAGGAGTCCCATACTAGGACGAAACGGCCGTCCAGTGACTCCAGGTTTTCCACGGTGGTCTAGCTTCAAATGACTCATGATTTCAATCTGTGAAAATTTATTTTCGTCTGAAACTGTAGTTTTATCTTCTAATCAAAACTGGGAATTAAACATTTGTTAAGATTTCTTGAATCATGCATTGTGAATGACTTGGAAATTTCTATTGAACATTATTATTTTGCTTCAGTAAAATAAATTTCATATTAATGATTACAAGTCATTAGGATTAGTAAATCGTCATTCATACTGTCCCAATGTATTTACCATTATATCGGTAGTTGTCTTGATCGTTCACTTGGATAATTGATGGAAGCATAAAAATTATTCACTTCATTAAGACCTGTTAAAGTCATTGAAAATCTAGTATAAGACTAGTTAAATAAGTAATGTTCTTTTAGTATTACCCATCGAATTGTAAATACTTTTGCGTATTCTCTGAGTGTTCAGGATTGATCTGTAAACTTGTAGTGTAAAGTTATCAGCTAACTGACATAAATTTGGATTTCCTGTTTGTCGAATTAGTTATGTTTGAATTGTTATGCTTTTTGGATGCTCAAGTGGCTTGTATCTTGTACTGAACTCCTAAATCCGACATTGCATAATAAAAACACAAGGCTAATTTATTAGCCTTATTTACAGTTAAATTAACAATCGGATTTGTATAGTTTGAAACAGTATCATTTAACATCAGTTACTCAATAATTTACTATGTGAATACAAATTCGATATCTTACAGTCAAGCATCTATAACCGACAGATATAACTATTTGATTAAGTTGCATAATCATTCCTCAAGATGTGATTACATGTCACACGATCGATTTCATATGTCAGTTCCACTCCAATCGATTAAGCCGTCGCTCATTGAAACCTATGTATAAAGATATACGTGGTCACAGTAAAACTGATTTAGTGTGTATAAGACTCGAACATATTCTGGATAATTCTGTTTTAGTAGTTCCTAAAACTTATCTGCTAGCTAACAAAACTTCATGTTTTTAAGATTGGTTGTTATCGACAGTTCCATAAATTATTAGAGCGGAATCTAAGGACATGTGGAAATCGAAAATCAATACACTTTTGGGAAAGTTCATCGACTTCTAAGACCCCCTTACATAGAGTTGTATGTATCTTATTATTATGTATCAAACTTCAAATTTTGTCAGCCAGTTCAATAATAAATTGTCTGTAAAATTATAATTTTATGAGACCGTTGTAAATTTATTCACAATGAGATTGTTATTCATACAACCGATTCTTCACCTTATCATCTCAGGTTTCTAATTATCGATTTCTCGTAAAATATGTAGACGTGATATGACTTTGAGTAATTGGTATTCTGCAACTATACGTCGAACCTAACACGGAAATAGGGTATTATCGAACCCTATCTCTCACTCAATACATGACGTTTTCATATCAATCAGACGGTTTAGATAGTATGTAATCGTTACTGTTGTCATAATTGTGATTCGAAGTTGTGATGCTTATAATCATAAAACACCTTACATTTTCATATAGTAATCAACAACAGTAATTATTAAAGTTTAAAAAAGATTCAATGTAACTGCATAAACAAGTTTCGTCTACATCATGTTAAATTATTTTTAACATGCCTGCTTACTGTTTGTTTGCAATATAGATCGTCGTGCTCCTCTATGGCCTTTAATTGGTATTATCCTAGAAGTGGTAGTTTTGTTCATAATTATTTTAATTTATGAATTAAAACGCCGTGAGCGTACTAAACGAGAAGAAGTTGGAGAAAATTTGGTCACATCTAGCAAAACGCCAAATGCAGCGTATGGAATTGATGAAGCGAGTGAAAATATGTAAGTTGTTTACCGAGGAGTAAATTTATTCCTGAAAGCTAATTATTTTCTAGTTATATCTTGTTTTTATAATATGGCGCTGGATATGTTTTTTTTCTCCCAATTAAATTAGTTCAGAATCTTGTGCATCTTTGACCAAGATTATTCAAATGCTGCAACTTAATATGCGCGCATACATAAGTTTAATCACAAATGAACTGAAGTTAAATGATAATCAGAAGTTATAAACTTAGGTTTCGTTTGAATAATAATACTTCATAGATTATGGCTCCTTCCAGCTAAACTCCAGATTATCGATTTTTGCGTTGATAAATTTTAGTCATCTCTGTATAAGGATAACTGCGATAACTTATTTCTGAATCCACATTGACTTTCGACACTGTTTGGTTGGTTGTTGCCATTTTTAGTTCCTTAATTTTGCTGTGTTTCATAGTAATGTTTCCGTGCTTTAACACATTTATTGTGCCTCGGATTTAACTTTCTTGAATATCAAGCTTCTTCTGACTTCTTCCTGTCTTCCATCGCGCTTGGAAATTATTGTATCAGTCATCCGATTTAACTAGTTCGCGTTAATCTTTATGTGTAAAAAGCGTCCCCAATCGTTTGCAATTAGAAGCTGCCGTACTTCAATAAAAAACTACATTTCATTGTTATGAGTATTTGAAGTTCAGTCATGATAAGCAACTCAAGTTGCTGTTTTTTAATTTTCTTACATCAGCTTCTGAGGTCCAGGTAATCAGATGTATCTTTTAAAGACTACTAGTCATCGATCGGTAGATTATTTTTAGCCATGAAGAGAATTGAGTTATTATATGCATCTTGAAACATTTGTGATGTATAAACTAAAGAACTATAGAAAATATGAAGTGTATATTGACGAATAAATACTGTCTGTGGTAGTCATCTGGTTATCTACACATTCTTATTTTAGTTTGTTGCTCCTCATTGTATTTAGTCTTACCCTCAAGTTATGGGAATTGTTAAAAGTTGCAAGTAGGATAAATAAATGGTTAGTAGATGCATGAATCTTATTCTTTAAGTTTTACTTCCATTTCAATCGAAGTAGAAACATAGTAATACATAATTTCCAGTTGTAATATTGAATATAATAGTATGGAAAACCACGGAATTGGCAAGTTTTTATTAGTTTACTTGTCGTATTAGTGTAAACAGTTTTCTTAAAACAATTACATCTAGGGAGATTATACGAACCTTTCTGGAAAAACTCGGATTAATAGATTTTATGGATAAGGAGTTTTTTTTAGAGATTTACTATGTCAATAAAAACACTTTTTAAGAGAATTAAAATGGAACTTGAAAATCAATTCATATAATTACTTTTTAGCTCTTTTGCAATCGTTAAAATCCGATTATTTATAATATGTACTTTTGTCTGCTTTAAAGTATATTTTCATGTTACTATAAGATTAATGTTTCTACAAACATGTAGCTTACATGTTTATGTGTATAATAATGCCTAGTCTGTTCCTGCTTCAGTTTGGGTGTCCGGTCAGTATTCCAGCCCTCACACGAATCTTTCGATTTGTGTGGCGCTTATCTATATGGTGCATCCTTGTACCAATGTTTATATGTCTAAATAAGCTTGTCCCAGTTAAAATGTTCTTAATTTTTCATTGAAGTTTTATTTATGCAACATTAATTTGGTTATCTGCAGAATCTCTCCTATTCCAGTTTTATTGACCATATAATATAATTAGTTCCTACACAAACCGTGTGAATCAAGGCTATGTATAGAAATCTGTTTTTGATAAACTAATTCCTTAATTATAAGGATTATTTATAGTTGACATTTAATTTGTTTTTGATCACTTGGTTATCATTTTGTTTTCTTGATTTACACTACATTCTCTAAACCAAAACAATAACAAACCACTATATTTCGATTATTCCTAGTACACAAATTATATTTATTGACACAAGATACCATTACGTTAAATAATAGGTTAAATGGTGAAGCTTTGTATATGTATATTGTCATTATAATCCTTTCTTTTTGCTAAAAAATACTTTAGACTATATGGAACTATAACAGGATGAACATAAAACTTAAAATGAAGTAGACATGCTTAGAAATATATATGTTATAGTTTATTATTTCAAACCATTTTAAGAACAGAAGAATATCGCTACTTTTTCGAAAACGCCTCTTATTTTATATGTATCAATGTTGAAGTAGATGGTTTCTTAGGTGGTCACTTTCCAGTTTTCCATTTGAACATCTACCTACACAATAATAAAACATCATTTTTTACGTTCTTTTTATTCTCTGGTAATCATATTGTATTTGTTTGTCATCCTTTCATTGAGATCCAGAAGTTTGTGTATATCATTGATTCTAACCTCAGGACTTTTATATTTAGTGAGACTGTCCTCATCGAACAATCTGGTTTAAGCTGTATAGACATGAGCTTTTGCATTTTCAAGTAACATCCTATCACATGGATATTGTGAATGGAAAGTGTGCTGACATTTAACTGTTGTGACAGTAGTTCAATAAAATCAGTGTACACTACGCGCTCCTGGCTGTGGTGCGTGCTACTCATATTGATATAAGTAGTATATTATGCGAGTCAAGAATGTATTGTCTGGCAGCAGAAGATGAGGGAAGATTAAGAAATCAGGAGCGGGAATAGGATGCAATTTGTATGAAAATGTAAGAACAATGAAGTCTGAGGCATTTTGAGACGGTTGGTGGACATTTTACAAATTAACGATTTAATATATAGTTCTCAGATTTTATTGAGATGCTCTTTAATTTTTGTGTCAAATACATTCGATTGTCCCCACCCGTGTTCTGTTCACTAAACTGGCTACATATACTAGGGAGTTTGTAATCATGATTATAGTCGGTATTGATTTCTTCGCGTTATGTGATAATATCAGGAAACTATCCGGGATATACTACAAACGAGGTACATCATAATCGTTTATGGTTCGCCTAACTCCATGCTATTTATTGTTTTCTATTTTTTGACATTTTCCTGCCTTCTTTTCCAGGTTATTACGACAACGAGGTGATCGTCACTAGGACAACATTTCGAAATTCCATCATCATTGTATTAAACCATTATACACAAAATCCAATGTATTTTCACATACACATACGCTTTCTATGATGGAACTTTGTTTTTATTTTTTTCCTTTTCTCAGAATATTATCCACTATACAGTAGCAATTTTCTTATTTCATTATTATGTATTTTACAGATTATGTTATTTATTACGTAATTATCTTTCAGATGGTTTTCATATTATTATCATCATCATCATCATTCATTTGACATAATATTTCAACATTGATTAATGCTCATAGTGCAATTTTTTTCTCCAATGGTTTCCTCATATTGTTATGATCCTCGAATGTTATATATATATATATATATATATATATATATATATATATATATATATATATATATATATATATATATATATATATATATATATATATATATATACTACTGTCGGCTCACTACTCATTCTTATCTGTATAAATAGAAATTATTCATAGAATTACAAATTTCATCCTACTTCATACACAATTATACGCTTTGCATATCATAATGCACTGTATCTTCCCTTTAATATTATGATTTTCTCTTTTCCAATAAAATATGCATTTAAATTGTTATACACAATGATTTTTTAAAAAAGGAAAAAGAATTATTAGTTTATGCAAATATCTTTTTCCTTGAGGATTTATTCGTATTGAATTCCGTTGTTCTCTTTTTATCATTTCCCTTTCGTATTTCTCTTTTCTTTTCTTTATACCTATCTCCCTATACTTTTCATATTATTATTATTATTATTATTATTATTATTATTATTATTATTATTATTATTATTCATTTATCTCCTATAATCCCTAGTCACTTATGAATGCATTTCCATGATATATAGAGATTTAGATTATTATTATTGTTAACACGCCCAATGAATTATTACTATTATCATTGTTAATATTATTATTTTGGACTATTATATAAATACTGTTAATTTAACATTTTATATCTCTTAAAAATATATACATGCACATTTCTTTTTCTTTGCCTTTATTCATAAAATTTCCTCTTTAAAAACGTTTTTACCTTGTTAATATTCAATTAATAATATTTTCCTTTGTTCAATTGTTTAATATGACAAAAAAGGAGAATACACTTTTAGTATATAGTAGTTTATAGGAGTGTATCTGTTTTTATTTCTTAATGAGTTTATTTAAACTTGCATATTAATTTGGGATTTTTGGTTTATTTTGTGCGTAACATCGATATAGTTTTATTTATTTATTTATTTTAACACATAGATATTCGTACAAGGAGGCAACAAATACATATGCGCCACACAAATCTCATTCGATATGTGTGAGGGCTGTGATACTGCCCGGGTGCCCAAACCGAAGCAGGTGGTTTTCTTAGGGGGCCACTCCCCGAGCCTTCGACCTGAAGGTCTGACCCACAAGGCAGTGGAGCATCGTAAGGAGATGCAGTCCCATGGAAGCCGGTGACCAACAATTGGTTCATACGCCATTTGTTCCCTCAGGATACTAGAGCCCATGTGCACCATTGATTTGGTTTGGAATCCGGTTAAAGCGCCGGACATTCGCTTTTCGTCCTCTCATTTTTGTAAGCAACACCCCCCCCCACGAGATAGTAGTGAATAGGACTTTCCTGACAGAGGCTATATACATATGGCCTTGTGAAAGCATTTCGAGAGGGAGAGCGGACTCTCCCCATTCTCGGCCATACCAGGGCATTTGGGGGCCCATCGATATAGAGTTGAAACAATAGATTTCTAGTTAGGTAAAAGATCCTTGTGTTGATTGACGTTATTGATTTAGTTGAAGGGGCGTTTTGGAGATTAGTTTGATTTGTTAGTTGGTAATTTTTACAAATTGATCTTAGTGTGGGTATAATTAAGAAGCATAAAGCACTAGATAGGCATTTCGTTCTAGTACGAAATCCTCAGCAGAAATGAATCTGGGATGAACACAACCAAAAAATTTGATCGGTCTTCATGAAACCATTCAACTATAATATTTAGCTCACTAGCGACCTACTTAAAAAAAGCTTTAGTAAGAAGTCATAGGGTTTAGAGATGACTAAAATTAGAAATGTAAACCACTGGATACCAATTCAGTTATCTGTAGTTTAAATATACGCTTTGAGCTCTAGAGGTTACTGATACGTACTGCTAAGTCTTATGTTAGTATAAAACAGATGTCCAGTGCTCTCTGGTTCTTTTAATGGTATTCTAACAGATCAATTTTTGACGAATAGAACCTGTTGGACTATTGGTGTGAACTTTCAGTAGTGATAGCTTGGTGTTGCTAATGAAGAAAGTTTCTCGTGATAAAGATCTATTACTGCATACTCTTTGATACTGGGTTGGAACCTAGAAGTGACAATCCCTTGTTCTTTCATGATTAAATACTTTTAATTTCTCCTGCAACCCAGATAGTCCATAAATTACTAGTGTGAAGTTAGATTTTCATCGTTACCTGTATTTCATTTGGAAAGTTGCTTTTTGTTAATGTAGAAGTAAACTTTTTAGATTCACTAAATTGTTCGTTGCAGGTGAAATTAAAATTACTCTATACCTTTCTTTTTACGAACTAATTCTTTCTTCCTGTGTTATATATTTATACACAATCTTTCTTTTATATACTACTACCATTGAAGTGACTACTATGAATTTGGTGTTCTTGATGTTGTGCTAATGAGATTTGGCATATATGTGCCTGGTCCTACGTTGTAACTGACTGACTCATTGCGGGTGATGCTATTGATTTTACAGAAATCATCATGAAAGACATACGGAGTTCATTTTCATAACTTGTTTCCAATTTTAAGTGTTAATAAATGATTGTAACTCTTAAAATACTTTGATTTATCTTTTATATGTCTGTTCATATTTCTCCCACAAGTAAGGATTAATTCACTAGATAATCAAGTTGGTCACATTGCTTAATAAAGTATATACTTTGGTATTACAAACTGTTATAAATTTGTTAAATTATTTATTCTTGAGGATATTCTTAGTGAAGACAAATTGCAAAACATTTATGAAGTATCAGGTACTTCTAATTATTCTGTCAAATAAGGTACTCGTAGTCAATTTAAAAGTTGAAACATTGGTTGATGAACGTAATTTGTTTAAAATTGATAATAGTATTTTCATTAACTGTTTGTGACTACATTATAATGTATTAGTATGTAAATTATGTTCATCAAAAAGTTTCAAAACGTTTGTCAGCCATCACAGTTTTACAAAAGTGTAAGGAGATTAATAGAATTAAGCACAGTGAATATTCAAAATGATAGCGATATTGTAAAAATAAGAGTAGCTCTGTGAATGAAAAACTAGCATACAGTTGAACGGTATGGAACTAATATATGCTAAGTCGATGAACTCACATCTCTACTGATAAAAACGGTCACATCTAGTAGTTCTTTAAACTATTTTGAAGCGTAAACTTGTAATCAGGTTAAAAGCTTACACTCAAATTATTTGAACTGGGTCGTTTTCATCTAAATGTTAATTTGTTTGTGAATCCCGTCAGGTTGTCTGTGATTCTGTTTGAGTCATGTATCATAACGAATAATCTTCAAGCTACATAATCACTCTAACATATGTCTAGTTATTATGGTTTTTTTTATAACATTCCCCTATGTGTTAGTATTAATACACATTTTAAGTTAATTATGAAATAGGGAACAGGTTACGATGAATTAGTATTACTCACTAGTGATTACATAATTCACCCCATAAGATAGTGGTTTGGTAAGATTTGTCACTTGTAAAGAAAGAGGATATGAGTTTCATATCTATTAAAAAAATCACCTAATATTCACTGTCAGTCACAATGTATAGCTTTAGTGTAAACAAATTCATAAGAGTGGGAAATTAACGATCTAAGTTGGTTGAGTCAAATTATTAGTCATTAATATCTTCTATTTTCACCAAACATTAACCACTGTAACAATAAAATTTTTAATGATCAGTTCAGGTATTATGATGACTATAGATTGTGTTATCATGATTTGATTACGGTTGTTGGGCAGTATCTGTAACCCCATTTGGTTTCGATAGATTCTGGTTTATTATGATCTTGTAAATCGTGAAAAGGATGATTATTTCGATCTATTATTCTCTAGTTTTGATAAGCTGATTACTTCAAAGCCATAAGAGATTTTTCATAAGTGACTATTAACTTGAAATTCTTTGGGATAACGTGAAAGTGTTGTAATATTCAAGAGTATTATAAGAAATTCAGTACTTGTTTACACACAGTGATAGTTTTGTTGATAATTTTATTTTAAGAATGTAGTACCAGTAAACATTAGTTTTATTGCTTTTATGCGGAATAACTTATTGCCAATTTTAATATAGTCTCACTCAAAGTAGTCTAAGTGATTTTAGAAATAATCAAACATTCATCGTACTCATAACTTATCTACATTTCGTTAAAAATAAGAGAAATTTATCATCTAGGGAAATGAGAGAATATAATCGATTAGGATTTACTATACACACGATGCATTTTTTGTTAATATGCTTGAGGAAATATACAATCATCAACAATAACTGTTGTTATGACAACAGACAATTAACTTTTTCTAAATTAACAAATACGCGTGCTTAAAAGACATTTATATAAACTAACAATATACTTCAAAAAATATATAAATTTAAGTGCAGTTTTTGTTGAATAGAAAAGCATAATAATAATGTGCATGCGAAAGATATTTGAGTATGAAATGAGTTGGTCAGATTTGTTATTATAGTTGACTTTCATTAATGTTATTTATTTGCCTCCTGTAATATGCCATTTATTTAATGATTCAGTCTTTGGTACTTTTGAACTAGATATAAGATAATATATATATTGAGGATTAATATAGGAGAGAAATATACACTTGTTTATTTTATATCCGCTAACGATAAATAGATAGATTGTTTACGGTAGCATTTTATTTTTGTAATCAATTAAAAACTTTTGAATTCTTCCTACCTACTTGAATGAACGAGG